GCTCTTCTCCTATGAGCTTCACCGGCAACTTGGCTTGATGGATATTTCTCGTCAGGTCTCTGTCATGTATGTGCTTATAACCTTTCTTCCATTTTTTTTCTTTCTTGAAAAATTTATGCAGAATTGTTAATAGTGAAAATTACTAATTAGTGCATTTCTATCTCCGTTTGCAATCATTAGACATTGAATCTTAATTTTTCTCAGATTCATGCATTAGATACTAGGTTTTGAAACTTCATTTTAATCATGATTAGTTTTATTTTGAAGTGCTGTGGATCCTGGAGTTGTGGAAACCAATATCATGCGAGAAGTTCCCTCATGCCTATCCAGTCTGGCTTTCATAATTTTGAAACTTCTGGGCCTGTTGCAGTCACCTGAAATTGGGGTTACCTCCATTCTTGACGCAGCACTCGCCCCGCCAGTAAGATTTCCTCATTCTAACTATTTGCAGCTTGCTCATGTGAATGTGAATGCCACTGATTGTTTGTCCTATCTGTGTTGCAAACTTAATCAGAGTTTTGTGTCAAACTATCTCAAGAGCTAGCCCAACACCAATTCATGTCATTGCCAGTGTTCTAGTACTGCTGCCACTTGTGTGTTGTCTTATGCAAATGAGTATTAAGATATGCAGTATATTATTTTTGAATAGTTCAGCTCCAAAGAACAATTTTAGGGTAAACAAAGCAATGTTTTCTGCAAGTTCATAGGTATTGCATCTCTTATAGTAATACAAAGCAATTGAACTGTAACAAAGCTGGGATGAGCCATGTTCTTATGTATGGTGTTGATGGGGCAATTTGGTTCAAGTTGTTTAAAATAAAAATAATGTCAACTTTTGCTGCTATTTATTCCTGAAGTTTCTAACATGAGAGTCACCATCTTGGCGATGCTGTCAAACATAATCTGGGTTGTTTAGACTGGTCCTCTGAACAAACCAGGTCTTTTGAAATTGAATCATGCATATAACCAGAAATCTGGTGGTTTGAGTGGTGATATCCTTGATTTGAGTTTAACAAGTGTATCGTTATGAATTCTTCTTGCGTGTCGTAGAAGCATAATGCTTGCTTCAATATGTCCTGCATAAAAATGTGAATTCTTATTTAGTCTCTTGAAATGGATGGAGTTTTCAGTGAGATGTAACAATTCAGAACATCAAAAGTTTTGTAATCTGAGGAGCAATTGTGTGTTAATTTCAGGAAACATCTGGCGTATACTATTTTGGTGGAAAGGGTGGGACCGTGAACTCCTCTGTGCTTTCATATGATGCCAAACTTGCCAAGGAACTTTGGAATGCATCAAGTGATCTATTTTTAGAGTCAGAGCTTGCTTCCAAGGAAACCATTTCTGCATCAGATGGTATATCATAGGTAGAATTGCGTGCAAATAAACGGATAGCGGCATGCGACTCTTTTTAACAGTAAATTAGATGAAACTGGTTGTTGAAAAAAGATTAGGAGGCAAATCGAAAATTAGCTACAAACTCCACAATCATCCACAATTATCCACAATCGTGACACGTGTACAAGATATCTGTGTACATAATTTATCCAGATGTTTTCAACTTTAGATATTCTTATTTGGGATCTGAGATGTGGATGAGAACTTCCAGACCAATTTGAGTTGTGGATAAGGTTAGTATCATCAATTACCAGTCCACTGAACTATAAGTCACCGACATCAATTTGTCGGATGATAGATAATTTACAATACTTCAATCCTTCTTTCTGCAGTTTCGTTGTTCTATATAATTAATCATAATATTCATAATTAAATGTTTAATACTCTAAAAACAATGGGTGTTGAATTATGCGTCTAATAACCATTTGTGGTATAAGTCCGAAAAACCATTTATGGCAAATTTAAAAACGTAAAAAACCCAAATAAAGTTATATGAGTCCAAAAAACCAGCGGCCAGTGGGGCTTTGATGGTTTATATAAAAAAAATAAAAATAAAAAGTCGAAAAAACCAGAAACCAGTTTATGCTTTATGCTTTATAGCCGTGGTCGGTGGACCCGTCAACTGCGCATTGTGGAAGGACGTACGATAGCTCATATTCATATCAGAAACAGGTGGATATAAACCATAGTTTTAGTCGGTCAGTGGGTTTAAAATTTAAATTATGCTATTCAATAATATCAACTTGTAACTTTTGGCTCATGCATCATCACCAACCTTATATTCGACGTTAAATATGATTTAGACCCATTGATGAAGATAGTAAATTATGACATGTGAAAAGAAATAAACTAAAACTAAAAGGAATCCAATGCAATGGTATGGTATATGCGTATGACATAGGACCCATATTGTGGACAACATATAAAAGGCATGTGTTTTTCAATTACGCGAACGTCTCTTTCACGAGAATAACTTTTTTGTAACGGGATGTCATCGTGGCGGCTAAATTCAGAACCTATCATATATTGTCATATTGTAAAATTAAAATACATGATAATAGATGCTTAGCTTAGAATAACACTACAGCCATATCTCAGTCGTTGGATCCACTCATCCCCTCCAGTATAGAC